CATTGTGTCAAGCACATATGTACATTTGTTGCCCTCATCATTCTCAGAGAGATCATTTTTTTAGTGGCTGTAGTACAAAGGAGTATCGGTCATCAGTAGTGAGTGGGGCTGCTAACATGTTAAGTCAGCTGTTCAAAACCACCAAGCTGCTCCTGGGAGAAAGCTGAGGCTTTCTTTCTACTGTCAGAGTTACAGCCTCAGAGATCCACAGGGGTAGTTCTACCTGTCCTACAGGACCAGAGTCAAAATTGATGTGATGGCAGTGAGTTTGGGTTGGATGTGCAACCTTGTGCAGAACTGTTTTTTATTAGTAACACTAGATGTTTACAGTCTGCATCTGTGATTGAAGTCTTTACCAGGGTATGTTGGGAGAGTCCTAGAATAGTAATTTGAGTCGGAGAACAAATGGATATGTAATGTTGCTAGTATTTCCATACACCGTTCCATCGGAGTTTACCTCTTCTCCCATTCCTGTGGACAAGTGTGCTTCAGTGTGTTTATTTCCCATCTCCAAAGTCACTCAGCATGCTAAACTTTTGAACTTTTTCTAGTGAAAGGTCAGTCTAGTTTCACTTGGTACTTTTCTTCTGGCCAAAGTCCATTTACATACGTTTTGCCCACTTTTCATCCAATTGTTGGGATCCTAATTGTCTTTTTTGTTACAGTGGTTTTCACCCATGTTACACATTTACAAAATAGTTAAAGTGGGTGAAGGGAGACGGACAGTGTAAGATATAACAAGATAATTATCAATTATCAAGGGTTCATAAAGGAGAGGAGAGTGGGAAGGAAGGGGGGGAAATGAGCTAATGCCAAGGGCTTGGGTGGAAAGTGGATGTTTTGAGGATGAGGGCAACGAATGTACAAAGATGCTTTACACAATTGATTTATGTATGGACTGTTTTAAGAGTTGTATGAGCCCCCAATAAAATGATTTACAAAAAATCAATTCCTAAGTTTTATTCTAGATTTTTAAATCTTAAAGAGTAGTTTCCGCCCACTTGTAGGTTATAATGAATTTCAAGTCTTCTAGTATTTATATATTTCAATCCAAATGCCTATTTTTGTTACCCAATACCATTAAAAACCATTTCATTGCAGTTTTGAAATGCCTTCTTATTGTGTTCTAAACTCGGTTCCACGATACTGTGGCCTTTTTCTGTTGTTGCCCTGTGTTACTAACTTTTTAAAAAATTCGTTTCAGAATCTATTAGCAGTTATCCTATCACTACGGTTTTCTGTACATACTTTAAACATCATCACTTTAACCAAATTCTATTATTTTTGTACTAGTTTTGGTTGTATATTTCCTCAATTGTGTTATCTGTCATCTAACTGCAGTGTTTAATACCTCAAGTACAATGTAGTAAAAGAACCCGTTTGCCTCTTACTCTTGGCTCCCGGTTTTACTGAAAATTCTTGGCAGACTTGTGTGGCACACTCCTAGACAGACACTAAAACTATTCTGCTGCACAAAAGTCTAGAGTTATTGAAAACAGAATTGATGGATTGTTTTCACTTTGGTTATTACTTCTGTTGAAGTCATTTGATACAAAACACAGCTTCCAAATTTGTATTATCCAATGCCTGTCTCTTGTCAAGTTTGTTTAGTTTCAAGAAATGCTTAAATCTAGAGAAAAGTCAGTTTGATTAGATGAATAGTGCATTGTAATGCATAGCATAGCATATTAAAACTCAACTATTACAGAGAAAGGCTGGCAGTTTGAACATACCGAGGCACCTGCTTCCAGAAGTCAGGGCTTGAAAACACCATGGGTGTCCAATACGTGCTGTAATGCATACACTGGTAGGAGTCAACATCGACCCAGCAGCAACTGTTAACGCATTACTATAGCTGCTAACAAAATATGGTCAATGTTTCTATTGCAATCTTTAAACCCAAGTTCAAACCTATATTTTATGCAAGGAGCCATGGTGGCACAACGGGTACACGCTTGGCTGTTCCAACTCATGAGCTACTCCATGGCAAGACACCTGGTCTTCGTTCTCCAGAAGACAGAAAACAGCCTCTGTCCCACAGGGTTTATATGCGCCACCACTCGTACACTCACAGTGGTGAGAGCTGATGGCATGAATTTAATGGCAATAAATACTTTGCTTTTTAAATTTTCATGCCAAAATGCATATATAACTCATTCTTGAAAATGTGCAAGCTACTACTACAGGAAGTGTTTTAATAAACATATTTTATTTAAATAAATCCTCCAGTAGGAAATAAAGAGCCCGTTGCCTTTGCTTGGCTGTGTAACTAGACATGTTGAACGTTGTCTGTGCAGCTCACCACCAGTCCCTCTTTGGAGCACTGGTATTTCTACATCGCAGTTCCCAAAAGGCTCTGAACACCTCAGAATTCTGTATCTCCTTTGGCTTGCTTCTCTCTTGACTCTACCCAAGCTTTGTTGATGGTTCGCTTCATATCATCATCTCCATCTTCATAAATTTTCTTTAGGACATTCATTAATCCCTCACTTGGGTCTGTTTCCGTGTCGTAGGAAGGCTTTCTGTTAAAAGAGAACAGAGACACACGATGTACGGACAGCATTGTGCATGTGCAGAAAGACAAGACTTATCAAAGTAGGGAGTCACTCACTGCCATGGAGTCGATCCTGACTCATAGCGACCCTACAGGACAGGGCAGAAATGCCCACGCGAGTTTCAGAAACTGTAACTTTTTGTGGGCAGAAAGCTGCGCCTTTCTCCACAGAGCAGCTTGTTCCAAAAGGCTGATCCTGCAGATTGCAGCGCAGGGAGTAACCACTAAGCCACCAAAGCTCCTGTCACATCAGACATGCAGAATGCACTGGAAATTGGACAATTTAAAATTCAGCACCTTCTCACCTAATTTCCCTTATGATTGATTTCAATTTGTCCTAGTTCACTTATTTTCTGTTTTCTTTTCTGTTGAGGTTTCATCTGTTTTACTTTGTTATTCTTAAGGGTTTTTTGGGTTTGTTTTTAAGTGTTTTCCTGCATAAGAAATCCAGGACAGGTAAATCTACAGAGACAGTAACTGGATCAATGGCTCCTTGGGGGTATGGCACAGGAGGCTGTCGGGAGAAGGGAGCTAATGATGATGTGTACAATGAAGAAAATCTGATTGTGGTGATGACTGTACAACTCTTCTTAGTGTAACTGAACTACTGTATTGTATGTCAATACAACTATTGGGAAAAGAATTTTAAGAATACATAAAGCACACAAAATCCACCTAATTTGAAGGTGACCCATCTTTGTGCTTCCTCATTGACATCTCTAAATTGTGTTAAGTTTTTAAAAGCGTGCTCCCCTAGGCAAATTCAGTGGGAAGAACTTTCAGTGAGGGAAAGCATCACCCTACACTACACACGGACCGAGACAGAAGCTTTTAACTAGAAAGTCCCTCTCTCTTATGCAAAAGAGACACGGCTTAGAATCTCAGTGAGAGCAGCGGACTGTGGTCAGTACCTCCAGCCCAGGGAGAGACACCACGTTCAGTCACCATGCACTCATTCACATAGCTCTTTATCAATTACCAGATTCTGCACTTTCCAGGGGTGTACAGTATGAATCAGAGAGGGTCCTAAACCCAATCTGATTTACATTCAAAATCAATTCCAGAAGCTAGTCCTACAGGCCTAATTCTAGCGAAGCTCATCCCAAATGCATGCGTCCGTCAGCAGGAAGGGAGAGAGAGGTGATGCAGGCCACCTCAGTGCCACACCTCACCGCCAGAGGGAGAAGTCAAAGCACAGGACAGCTGACCTATGACAGACAGTTTCAGATCCTTTTTACGCCACACTAGGGATATCCAAAATATGTACTACAAATTATACAATTAAAAGATAGCATCTGGGAATCTAGATTTCTCTAGGACTATTGAAGTGGGACAGTAGCTGCATGGAAGCACCACTGGATGTCTCTGCTCTGCACTGAAAAGACAACAGACACTACCAACCCACTGCCATCCAGTGGATTCCAACCCAGGGCCTGGGGGTTAGAGGGTAGGTCAACCTGATGTACTTGAGTGAAGGTAGGGGTGAACTCCCACCTTTCCATCAGGACAGTCTAATGACGGCTCCCTGAGGGCATGGTCTTTTTATGAGAGATGCAGTGGAGGACCTTCTTTCGCTCCTTCTCACCTTCCTGCTCATCTGGACTCTGCTTCTGGCTCCCAGGCAGCAGCCCACCCACGTGGCTGCCCCCTTCCTCCACGCCCAGGAGCTGCAACGCCCTGCCATGTCCCTGCTGGCTGTGGACCCACACCACTCTGTACCCACTGGCCTGTGATCACCCTACTTCCCACTTCGCCTTCCTGCTTCATCGGCCAGCAGCTGTGTGAGTCTGAAGGAGCTCCAGCTAGCATGGCCATGGACTTGAGTTGTACTGGGCTGGGCCACTGCCTTGATTTAATTTCCTTCCTGATAGAAAGTTCTCTCAGGTATGTAAGAGTGCACCTGGTTTTGCTTCTCTAGAAAACGGCCTCACACAGTGTTTCTGAGGCTGTAAATCTTCACAGGAGTAGACAGCTAAATGCCCAGAGTTTACACAGTCAAATTTGTGTTGCAGTCCAATGCTTAAACTGACAGCGTCACCAGACCGCCTATCCCAAATTGCAAAGACCTGCTGAAAAAGCAACATGCTGTCGCTACACATGCCCCCAGCTCAAGAAGGCCCAGAGGGTGGAAAGCAGATGCACAGAGCATTAGCTTTAGTCAGTGGGCACCCAAAGGAAAGTGGTCAGGCTACAAACTACATACCTCTATTATGCAAGAACACATACAAAAACCTCCAATCTCATCAAAGACATGAAATTTCACACAAAAAGGAAAGCACTCCACTATCATGACCCCAGTTCTACATTACACGTCTGGCTAGACTGGAAGCATGAACCTTGGTACAGATAAGAACTCTCGACACACAATGCAGGACAGATAAAGCCCTCAGGACCAATAATGAGAGTAGTGATACCATGATATCCATGGTGCTGGTGGGGCGGCCCGATCACAGTGATCAATGTACAACACCCACCCCGAGGGACTAATAGACCATAAATATGCTTGAAGGGAGATGGTGTAAAATATGAGAATAAAAATAATTTATAAATTATCAAGGGTTCACAAGGGTGGGGAGGGAGGGGAAAAAAGAAGAGCTGATACTAAGAGCCCAAGTAGAAAGAAAATGTTTTGGAAATGATGATGGCAACATGCATACAAACATACTTATACAATTGACCTACGGAATGTTAAAAGAGCTGTAAAAGCCCCCAATAAAGTGATTTATTAAAATAAAAAACCTCCTAAATTTAGAGTGAATTAAACAGACAAAAAGAAAGAAGAAAAGCAGACTCACTCTTTGTCCTTGCATTCTTTCTCAACCTGAGTCAGATAGTCCCACCGCATGCTTTCAGCCTTCTTTCTGCACATGATAAGGACTGTATCCGTCTTGACCTGGAAGGAGAGTGAGGACAACTTAGAACTCACGGCCGGGGGCACAAAGACTTGGAAACAATCACAGAAACAGCCTGAGAGCTGGGCTTGGTGGGATGGCTCTGAGTTTTCTGACTTGGACAGAGTGCAGTCTTACACGTGGCTATTGCTCTGCTCTGGGAGTTTGCTTCTCTTCTCTCTCGGTTTCAGCCTTACGCAGATCTGGCACCACAGGCCGTCTTGTTCTAGGTCTCGGAGTGCTTGAGATCAGTCAGGCAGCCTATCAACTCGTCGAAGGGAAAGACCACGAATAAATACAACTCGGGACACCTTCAGTACTCAAAGGAGCTATGAAGAAATGTGGGGTCTCGAGGGGGATGGGCTGTGGGGGGAGGCCTCTCTGAGACTTGAGCTGTGGGGGAAGGGCATTCTGGGGGAAGAGGTGGATTGTAGGCAGATGGAGAAGTGGGGAAGTGCACACGGTAGGACGATCCTGATTTATGTGTGAATTAGAATGGAGAACTAGCAGGAGCTCACTGACGGAAGGACAGGGTAATATTTGTGAGGTCCAAAACAAGCCACATGTAGAAGGCAATGTGAACAATTTCAAAGGTGAGAACATTAAATAAAACCATGAAAATACAATTCAGCAATGACCCGTACCATTCCTCATACTCCTTCACCTGGGATTATAGGAAGGTGCACAGAGAGACTGGAGACCATTGACCTGGATCTGACTAGTACCTTTAAGCTTCTACACAGCTGTATGTAAGCGTACGTAGATACTGCATGGTAACAGCACCGTGTCCCTCCAATGTTTTCATGTAATTAGGTGGGGGGAGAGAGGGTCAGAATCAGGGGAAGTACAAGTACTTGTTAAAAATATGGTGTCATCATTTTAAGGCATCTTCAATTTGGCCAAGTGTTTAAGACCTCTTTTATCTATGAGAAATTTATACATAGCACCTCAAATTATTGCTTGGATAATCTTTAAACTTAAAAACCAAAAAACATACCCTGCAGTCATCATAATACAGAACAATCCCTTTAACTAACTACTCAAAAAATCTAACTGGTGGTATTGTTGAGCTGTAGTTTGAAACCTCGGGAGAAAGAGGGGGTGCTTTCTACTCCCATAGAGTCACTGTAGCAAACTCACAGAGGTAGTTCTGCCCTGTCCTCTAGGGTCACAATGAGTAGCATGAACTCATTGAACAAGATCTTTTCACATCTCTCTACATGGGATCACTAACAACCTTAAGGGACACCGAGGTAATGAGGAAGAAACAACTCGGAGGGGATGAGAATGGTGGTATAGCTCTAAGAATCTAATCAACATCACTAAACTGCACATGCAGAAATTGTTGGATTAATTTATATTCTGCTGTGTATATTCTCAATAAAGAGAGTAAAATTTAGGAGAAAAGAATCCTTACATCTAATGTGTCTAAGCAATGTTGTTAGGTGCTATCAGTCAGTTCTGACTCACAGCGACCCTACCCTGTGTACAAAAGACTCAACGCTGCCAGTTCTACACCCCCCACACCATTGTTGCAGCCAGTGTTCGGGATGTCCTTCTATCTTACCAACTATCTCTGCTTCAAGGGATTAGTCTCTGCTGACATGTCCAAAGCATGAGACACAAGGTCTCGCCATCCTTGTGATGAGGAACACTCTGGCTGTACTTCCTTCTGGCAGTCCATGGGGCTTTCAATATTCTTCTGCAGCACAACTCAAATGCTTCCAACAAAAGCTCCCACTAGTCCAGTGCTTAGCATACAGCACATCACTCCAGCATTTCAATTTTGTGAAATACATCATCGTTTCCATTGTAGAATGAAGAAACTGAAGCACAGAGTGATTAAGTAAGCTGCCAATGATCATACAACTCATAAATAGTAGAGATGGCATTAAAACTTAATTCTCACTCTTCATAATTTCAATGACTCATTTCTCATCCAAGCAAACTATAAGAATATTTCGCTATAATATTCCCATAGTATTCTATTCTTCAAAGCAGGAGGTGGCAGACTTGTTCTGCCAAGGGGCAGAGTGTTAGTATCTTAGGGTGTGGGCCATATGGCCTGTGTGCCAACTAGCCCACACTGCCTTATGGGGCAAGAGCAGCCATTACATTTCCCACCAACAAATGACCACGCCAGTAGGGTGCTTGGGCACTTTGCTGTAGCATGGGGATCCCTGTTCTAGAGGGCAAGTTCATTCCAGTTCATAACAATTACAAAATAGGAGCTCATTTGAATGATGTTTCACAATATCACAACTGGGGAAAAAAATAAAAGCAAACTCACTTTTTTGGAACTACCTTCCACAGAGATGGGTTTCAAGAGGTTGTTCACGATCATGGAGTAATTCTTCCCATTCAGGTCCTTTACTAGAAGATCAAATGACCTACAACACAACAATCAATGCATCATCTGTCTGGGTCTCTGGGAGCTCCTGGGTCATTCTTCCTGATGGAGCCACCAGCTCTATCTGGCCAGTCCAGATGACCTTAAGACCCACTCCCTCCTTCAGAGTGGGCGTGAGTGAGGGACAATCAATCTAAATGAAAGCAGAATTTTAGACCCAACAAAGAAAAGCAACTGCTGGCTTAATGGTCAGTCCCCGTTATAAAGGACACTCACCTCTCTGTGAAATGCACCTGCACATTCTCAGCGGGCACCTGATGGACTCCAGTTAAGGTGATGTAGATTTTCACAAACTTATCTGACTGATCCCATCCTAGCAACAAGAAATGGAACACAAACACGGCTCTGAAATTATCTCTGGAATACCAACTGCATGTGCCAGTGATAAAAATATGAAAAGTCAGTAACGAACAAGAAAAAATTTTCTTGATGCATAAACTGAGGCTCAAAATGGCTCCATCATCTATCTAAAATTAGGCACTGAGCAAGTACTTTGGTCGACTGAACATAAACACAATGGTTTTGTTGTTTTTTCACTTCTTATAATACAGTTATAAAACAAAGAAACCAACCTACTGCCTTCAAGTCAAATGTTGACTCGGTGACCCTATAGCACCAGGTCAAAGGGCCCCAACAGGGTTTCCAGAGCAGACTGCCAGGCCTTTCACCCAAAGAGTAACTGGAGGGTTCACACTGCTGCTTGCAGTGAGCAACCAAGCACTCAGTCCGTGTCAATCACAACCTCACTGCGGATTCCTAGTGAGGGCCACAAGGGCTCCATGTCTGAAGCCTGAAAGCACAAAGCCACTGACCTCTCGGCGCCTAACGCACAGCAACCCTGCAGGGGACAGCAGAGCTGCTCCCGGACCCAGGACAAAATCCTTACGGAACAGGAGCGTCCTCTGGCACGGCTGACCTGGTAATTAGTAGTTAGCAGCCCAACACTTATTCCACTGTGCGACTAGGACTCCTGAACTGGGCCAGTTAAGTACATTACTTCCACGTAGGTTTTTTTCCCTTTTACTCTCTCCTACACCTAAATATTAGTAATTCTCCACTACGGCTCAGAATGAACGGCTAAATCATCAGTACAGAAGTCGTGGGTCGTGAATGTCTGTCTCCTATACTGTGTACCATCCCATGTGAATCAAGCCCTGTACAGTCCGTTCTAATTGCCACGACAGTTCTAATGTGTGCCGTAGGGTTACTGTGAGTCAGCATGGACTTGAGGCAGTGACATCTTGCTGCGCACTTTTCAAAACATTACTATTGTATTATCAAAAATATTTTAGTATATCTCAAACTATTTAATGTTTTTATGCACAGAAAGGTGCACTACATACTATAGGTGGTCCCAGGTTATGACACTGTCAGGAGACATGATGTTTGTCCTCCCTGTGAACAAGTTCTCTCATGATCAGTCATGTGAAATGGGAACAGACCACATGTTTTGCAACTTGGCAAATTCCCCTTGGCATCTTACAGCACAGAGTGCATCTTTTAAGCCCTCTTAACTCGGACAGAGACGAGTTAAGACGAGTTAAAACTCAATGGCCATGGATTTTTGCTGTTAGCTATCGCACGCCCAAGTGATTCTAGTTCATAGCAACCCTACAGGACAGAGGGATCCGTCCAGGAATTTCCAAGGCTGTTAATCTTCACAGGCGCTGACGGCCTCAACTTTCTCCTGCAGAGGCGCTGGTGGGTTCAAACCACAGATGTTTCAACTAACAGCCTCATGGTGTTGTGTTCTGTGGCACATGCATGCCAGAGTGGGCACACGCATCAACACGTGCTTGACAATGTAAACCCCTACCAAAGAGTACGACTCTCCCTGTCCTCCCCTAAGAGCCCATCATGGAGACTCAATCTACTGAGGAAAATGTTGTCTGCTATCAGCTGTGTGGCTGCCTCAGCACAGGGCAGGAACTGGACCCACGCCATCTTGCATG